ATAAGCCTTGCCGTGTGCGCACCGCCGACCATCGATTACAGGTGCACAGTTCAAACGCGTTCACAGCGATCGTCAAACCGTCTTCGGTCTTGGCTGCGCACATTACTTGCTCACTGCAACCGGATTATCGGTTTAATAAATGAACAACTCGGCCGAGACAAGCGTCATTTTACAAATTTTACAGGAGATCTATTTAAAGTTTTATGTACGGTCTTACGTGTGACGCGGTCGATGTTTGCTTGTAGCTCATTGTTCCACTCAGTTTCTCATCTTTACCCTATTGGAAATAATATTATATACTGTCGTGGTATGTATCACTTTGTTACCTTGTTAAAATATTATTAATAATTTTTTTGTTCTGCTTATCTGACCTAATAATATTTTATCTGAATCAAGCTTCGAATTATTTATTGAAATTATTAAATACATTTTTTTATTCATTTAACGACACATATATCTCGTTGTTCCATTAATAAAACCGTAATCGAAAAAATGGCGCTTTTCTCGTTGTTCAGCCGAGCTATTCAAATCGTTAGCCTTGTACGTGATGTGTTAACGCACCACGCCCACGATTAACATTGACGACTGTTATCTATAAAGCCCGAATTTCGATGTATGTTAAATACTATCGTTGAATATGCACATATTTACGCACACGAAAATTAAAATTATGGAGAAAAAAAAATTAATTCTTTATTACATGTTAGAAAAATCGTTACAAATACATTGCGTTGTATGAACTGTTACGATTTACTATTGTTTACAAATCACGGCACAAGTAATTATTAATCAATAATACAATAACAAAAACTATTAATTTTGAAACCTGAAGTTACAAAAAATGATTTTAGATGTTTGAAGTGGAAACTTTTACGAATGTCATGCAGTAAAGATTTATACTTAGAAAAACTTTTTACTATGTCACAAAACACTGTAAGCGCATATTAAAACCATATATGTCTTTAAAGTCGATGCTTCTACAACGGCTTGATTTTTGTCACTAGAATTCTCCACTTAATATTCCAAAAATTGTTTGAATCTGAGAATGCATCAAATTTCTGGACAATACTTGCGATAGTTTACTTATTCTATGCCTATTCCACCTTTTTTAAATAGTTTTAAATAAACGAAATATTTAATAAAGAACAGAAAAATTGCAGATAAAATATGTACAGTATAATATAGTACTGTTTCTATTAACATGAAAGTTCAAATATTAGTATAATTATTAGTGCTTGAAATAACTTTTATAGAAGTAAAACCAGAGATAATATAATAGACACATATTTTATGGATTGTTAAATATAAAAATGTAAACATTTATAATAAAAATTTAATTTTTCGAATCATAACACAACTAATATATTTTTTCATAATATACGCATTTTCTACGCAATTATGTTTCAATGACATTTTTACGGTTATTGTTATTATTTTTATAGTTATTATTTTTACTCAAATATGCAAAGTATGTGAAAACAAAATTTACTCATAGGAATATATACAGTGCGAGACGTCAACATTTGCAATCAAATTTATTCTAGATGAAATATAGGAGAATATGCTTTCACATAAAACCCGGACCATAGTTACTAATGACTGAATGCGATCGAATACACTACCTGTTGTCTGTAGAAACGAGGTTTTTAAGAGAAAAAAAATAATGATTCGTTTCCATTAACAATCCAAAATTGTTTTTGCAGCTAAAACATAATAAGTTTCCATAAATAGAAAAATAGAATATTTTATATCATGTTTTCGTTCGTTTTAAAAACACATTATAACAAAAACAACGTCCGCGTGCAGAAAAACATAGGCAGTTGAGGTAAAATATTATCCCGATTCGAACCGAACGACTTGATGATATTCATTAAATTTTATGAACCGTATGTACACTCGTCGATTTAGTATAAATATCGAATGGGTTTTTAGCGAAATTAGGAGCTATTGCTCTAAAATACGACGTATTCGTCGAAATCGTTACACAATTATAACGAATGAGTCCGTTAAGTCTTAATAAAAATATTATCTAATTACGTTGCGCATAGATATTGTACGGGCTAACAAATATTATACGTCTTACTATGTACAAATTAATAATTATATAATTAACGTCGTAATTATTTTGTATGATTATTAGGTCAAATAATCCTTATTACTATAATTTATTCATAACAATATATATATCATAACGTATGTTGTTTACCGCATCGTCATCAATCGAGTTATAAAAAAATATAATAACAAAGTTGTCCCCATCCACTCATCATAATAAAAGTTTTACTGCAAATAAATCAACCCCTTCCCAACGTGATAACTGTTGATCTACCACTCCCGTAGTGCCCGACATCGTTTTCCAAGTTGAGTGAAATGCGGTCAACATCGCATTCATCGGACGACCTATCTTTTAAATCACTCCAGCGAAGTGTACTCTTCATGGAAATCCATACAATGTCTTACAAAGGATATCCGTCCCTAGAGGTGATAAAAAAAAAACCAGACAAATATAAAAAAACGAAATACAAATCTCCTTCTTCGAGAAAACTTGTATTGCAGTTCGCAATTGGTTCAAACGTTCTCACTTAGAAAAAATCAATCAATCAACTATAGTCGTTTCCAGATCATTTTAGCTGGTCGTGCACAAGACAAACACACAAATGCGATATTGGGTTACCAAAAGGGAAAGAGTATATCATCTTCAAATTTCGAAAAATTATTATTTCCTTATAATACATATACAAATCTTATTACAAATGTTCTTAATTCTTACTATAATTCCAAACGTCATTTTGTTGGAATCATAACTTAAAACTAGCATTAATTGATAAGGAAACAATAATTTTCGAAGCAGTTATGGTTTAAGTATTTCCATTTCAATGGTTTGAACTAATCCTGAATTTGCGGGTCCTGAGAGGTATTCTCGGCAATCTATATACGTACGCCACCGTGTAAATGGAAATACGGGCTAAAACATAAAACAAAATAAACCAATGAACTGCATCATGCAGTATAGGCTTATAGGGTATATATATTATGTATACCAAACGCAAACAAGTGGGCTTTGTAGATGCCAGCTTTAAGTTCCAATTTGATGCGGATAATACACCGTCAACGTGATTCGAATGCTTTATGTGTATATATATGTGTATGTGTGTCCATGTTCAGTTATTTTATACGTTAAAGCCACGTTGAAAATAGGGTTACTCGTTTGCGACAAATTTACCTGGAATAATTATAATAAATTAATATATTTTTTTCTCAAATAATAATTAATACAATTTTATTTAAATCTTAGTTCATTATACGAATGTTTTTAAAACAATAATCAATTATAGCTGTATAATATACATTTTTTTACAGAATAATACAAATTGAAATTAGTTAATAGTACTTACATATTTTTATTAATTATAATAAATTAATATATATTTTTTTACAATCTTTTTTTTTTTTATTAATAATTCATAATACAATTTTTTTTAAGTAATTTAATAAATAATACACTTTTTAAACAATAATAAATAATAATTACTATAAAACAGGTTATATGTTATAATAGTCAATCAAAAATATTAATCAAATTAATCATAATAAATAAATAGTATATAAAAATATAATAAGAAAAAATAAATTTTCAAAGCTTTAAAATTTATAGACTTATAAAAATAACTTAACTATATGTTATAGATACGACGTCCTTAAAATATAAGAATCAACCAAGTCGTTAATTTAAAATGTTTACACAGTAAATTTTGCGCAAATTAGCTGGCTGAAAAAGCATACCTTTTTTATTTTAGCGCAAATAGGCGATGCCCTTGAAGATTGTCAAACAGCTGTTGGTCAATTCCTCAAGGGACGAAATTTGAAATTTGGTTTTTGCACCTCGCGGAAAATTTTCAACTATAATTTGATGATGTCTGAATAATACCTTGATTGTAAAACGTTTCGTGACGAGAAATTATTTCTATTAAAACTATTATAAGATAGCATACTTACAAAACGTCTTCTGCGCTATCCCTGATCGATTATTTTTATAAAAAAACACATTTACATCATTGCACTCGAAAACCGTTTGAGTTTCGCAAAGTTTAAAAAATTATATTTATCTATAAACTATTAAATATACGATTATATATAGGTGCATATGTATATTATATTATATAGAAATATATTCAACAGTTTTAAATTTGTGATTTTCTTAATCGAAAATTAATATACTGTACGATTGTTGTACAATAATGTGCGTTTAAGTATTGATAATTTCTAAAGTATTAGATGGGTAATTTAACTTGGTAATGTCATTCTTATAGATGATTAATTATGTTACTTCTTCTGTGATCTGATACAACTATAAAATTCTACGTTCATTTAAACATTTTTGTGATTACGATTGAACAAATTATATCTACGACCACTAAAAATAAACTTTTTTTCATTTTAATTCAAGCAGTTTTAAATTATATTTGCAAGTATTATTGCGTATCGGAATAATAAAAAAAAACAGGCATTTTTCCGTCCAAAATATAATTTCATAAAAGATAATTGCATTTCAAGAGTAATTTTATACGTACGATTATAAATGAAAATTAGATATTCAAAAGCAATATTAATACATTTTCAGAATAAAATACATTCACCCCGATGTCGATGTAACTACTGGTTGTTGCGTGACTAAAAAATCTTTCGAAAGTACTATGAAAGTGAACCGATATTATTTTCGCTGTGTGTTATGTAGAACAATGATGATTAAAGTACCTATTTTATAAACATAAACAATGTAAAAAAAAAAAAAAAACCGTTTTAAACGTAAATAATTCACTCTCATATGAATTAAGTTTCTCCGTCGTTACATTAAAAAATATACAGATAAAATGTTTTGACGTTTTGTGGTTAAGTGAAGCGTGAGAGTCGGTGACAATATTTTGTAGGACTATATGATGTACTATTAGATAACACACTGATGGGTGGATCTAATCGATCTATTTTGTTCGGGTTCACAGCCACAGGGATTTGAAACCGGAAAACCTGTTGCTGGACGAGAAGACAAACATCAAAATCGCCGATTTTGGCATGGCGTCATTGCAACCGAATGGCAGTATGCTGGAGACCAGTTGTGGATCACCGCACTACGCTTGTCCCGAAGTTATCCGGGTAAGTTGTTTTTTTTTTTTACTTTCTCATCCTCTTCCGCTCTCTCTCTCCTTCTGGCCATTTCTTTTTATTCGTCTTGGCCGTTTTTACAACCTGTTTTCTCGGTCGACCGGTTAATTTTCGCGGGTTTGCAGGGCGAAAAGTACGACGGACGAAAAGCAGATGTTTGGTCGTGCGGCGTGATACTGTACGCGCTGCTCGTCGGCGCGTTGCCCTTCGACGATGACAACTTGCGTCAGCTATTAGAAAAGGTGAAAAAAGGCGTGTTCCACATACCTCATTTCGTGCCGCCTGACTGCCAGAACCTGCTCCGCGGCATGATCGAAGTGAATCCGGAAAAACGGTTGACCGTAAGTTTGCGCTCATTGTTTCAACGGCAGTAGATCGTTTTTATTTAAAATGATAAAATATTTTCTTTACCGATAGAGTGAGCACTTTGCACAGCGAAGTGAATTTGTATGATATAGGTGACGGAAGATGATTCGTCATAACGTTCCTATTCCGTATTTGAAATGTATTCATTTATTTCTCTAAACTATTGATAAATTAATTTTTGTGCGAAATTTTCACGGAAATTTCATATTAATGTTCAGAAATCGAGAACGCTTGACGCTCGCTTCAAAAATGAAAATATTGAAATAGGTTTTGGGAATGTTTAAGCAACACAAGTGTATAGTTGAACTAAAAAGGTTAGAGGGGAGAACGTTCCTAAGCCAATATTAGCCATCATATTTCTCAAATTTCCTTCAAAATCATCAATCAAAATATGGTTATAAAATAAGGGTCTGTCTAGTTGATGACATTAATACAAATTGATTGATGATCTAAAATCGTAGCCCTTAAAAATGTTGAAACTACTTGAATTATCAATGTATTTAAAAAATCGTAATTAGCTGATTATAATAAACATGTATTTATAATATGTATGATAATTTAATTGACGTTTTAATTTTAAGACTTGATTGACTTTAGAAAAATGTTTAAAATCTACTGTAGGTGTACGCTGTATAATATCATTTAATTTAATGCTGACTTCGATGAAAATTAATAAAGTATAAGTAATGAGCTCATAATTGTATTTTCGATTCACTGGAAATAGTATAAAGTTATTGAACTTAAGCTAAAATAAGCTGTTAAGATTTTTATGTTTTTTTAAACATATTTTAATATTTAGAGTTAGTCGTCTATATTGATTTGGATGACATTCCGAACACAAAAAAAGAAGTCAACAGCATTCGAGCCCCGATTGTAAATGAACTATTTTACCCTAACTCATTTCAACGGATATTATACACTATATAATTATAACTAAATATTTATGCGGTTTTAAAGGAAATCTCGGTAATGCATTTTCGAATTCAGTTATAGTGCCTATAAAGGAAAACTTTTATCATTTTACGATCCTCTGTGGTAGTCGGTTACTACGAAAGAATAAATATTTCATTTGAGTAAAGTTATAAAGTTTTTTCAACAAATTTAAAACTGTAACAGTTCAATTTAAACCTTTAACGTAGTATATTTCCTTGAAAAAGCATTTAAACTCAAAGAGATATAATGTCGTTATACGAACTCACATTTGACCGAAGTACATAGCTTATGAGTCATAATATACAATATGTATGTTGCAAAGTCATAAGTTATGACTTCGTAATATACATATTGTATTTTTGTCAACAACAAACAATAATAAGCTTTGTCCCTCGGGACCTCCAATAACCGATTTATACCCGAACGAAATGGATTGATTAAAATATGCGTGTACGGTGGCGAAGAAATAATATACATTTAAACAGCATACGTTTGCTCAGGGTTTTTTTTATTTTTTAACCGTACGCAATGCTACGCAATTCCATTTCGCTCAAATGATTTGCTGCTGTTGTTCGACTTATATTGAACATGTGCAAATAATATGATTGCAGCTGAAAGACATAAACAAACACTCATGGGTCATCGCCGGAGGCAAAGGAGAAGTGCATTTAGGTATGTCCATGATAGACGTCATACAAACCCACATAATTCCGTCCGCAAATGACTTAGACACCGATGTTCTTCAAGCCATATCCAGTCTAGGCTGTTTCAAAGATCGAGAAAAACTCATTGCCGCTTTATTGAGTGTCGAGTAAGTGTATCAAGTGTACTGTAATAACTATTATTCAAATATTTTTTAAATAACGCTGAGCCAGACCAACCGACAAATTAATGCGATTCGTTTGCTTTTTTATTATAGTTAATGAATGCAAAACCAACGTTTTTCAAATATAAAAATCTGACTACTCCGGACCGTTTTTCATTAAATTTATATCGACGAAAAAGTAATTTAGTCCCCAAACGTTCTATTGAAAATGAAAGTTACTGTAAATTCGAATTGTCAAAAATAAGCACAACAGTAATTATTTGAAAATAATAAATATTTAAATTGTATGCAGCAACGAAACTAAAATGTAGAAAACAGAATTTTATAAAAAACCAACGATATATAAACTATATAATCATTAAAGTTTTTAATAGAAATCGTGAATGTAAAATTTGCATGTACAAAATATAGAATAATACCTACGGAGTACATAAAGAAAAATATTTTTTTTTTCCATACGTGTTGAAAAAAAATGCAAAGCCTAATGTATTCGCGTTGATATTAGATTTTTCTGTAAATACGATTTCTCTTTAATAAACACATCAGTTGGTGAGTCCTCGGAACTTTATGCGAATAGGTGTACATACACGAGACCTGCAATAGTTACTTACAATTGTTTTTATAATTTTCTTGAAAAACTTCACAAGATGGATTGAAATGAAAAATATTGATGTTTACTCCTGAGACTTTCTGTAACGACACGTGGTAAAAATACTGTGGGAGGTGATGGTCCAATTTTTCAACCGTCAAATGTATTGTGTGTAGTAAAAAATGTATTCGTTTCAAAATAAACAAAAACTTTAACCAAACAAAAGCTCATGCTCAACAGCAATCGACCATCCGCAAGTAACCCAGTCGAAATCCATCTCTTGAGAATATAGGTAATGGAAATAAAACGTCGAATATTTTTTCAATGTGCAAGAGAAAAACGTTAAGTTGAGAATATTGCGATCGGCATCAATCGTTCTTTTGTTGATTAAAAATCAGTATGATTGGTTTATATTTTCGAATTGTGTTCATCAACGGGCCATAGCGCAATAAATAAACAAACAAAATAATTAAAAAAAAATAAAAATAAAAAATGAAACTTTTGAACATCGTTAAATAAATGTCGAAAAACAAATAAAAAAATAAATAAAAGGATAAATATATTTCGATTGTAATGAATCCGTATAAATCATTGCTTTTATATTCTTTGTCACCATATTAGAGACAATATGACTTTACTGCATTACCCATAATTGTTTTTTATCAAGATTATTTTAATTATATCTTTGAAAAGTGTTTTGCATTCATTTAATTGTTGTTCGTATATTTGTAATTTTTTTTACTTATGTGTCATTTTACGTTCACAGTCATAACACTGAAAAAGTGATTTATTTCCTACTACTCGAACGCAAAAAAAGACGACCGGCCAATGAAGACGACACGATCGTCGTGAAAAACACTAAAAACAGTTTCGATCCGCCGAAAAAGCGAGTGGATACGTGTAAAATGATCGACGATATCGATAGCAATTTTTCGCAAATCAGTGCTGGGTCTCCTGCTACTCCTCGAAAACAGATGTTGCAGTAAGTTTTAAATTCGGTTAAATATATATAACGATCAAAGGTTTCGAGTGTTTATTATGAGCGTGTGAAAAAAAACCGATTACTATTAGTACTTTGTTTTATTTTTGACGGTTAAACATTTCTAAGTGTTTGGGTACTAAAAAACGCGTCGTATGCTTTATTACACGCATAAAGTACATACGGTTAACTTTACCTTTCTAACTACAACCATTAAGGGTAGTAAAACCCTTCAAAATCAAATCCAATCAAAAATAATTTTATCATGCATTTCGATTTATCAATTACTATAACTTTGCGAATACTGAAAAAAATAAATATTTTGTTGAACTTAAATTTGTTTTAATGTAATGGATTTTTTTTTTTTTTTATCTTGTCTTTCAACTCATCTACTCGTTCCCCAAGTGTTTGTATTATTATATTAATGAAAATAGCTGTAGTTGATTTTTAAAATGATGGAACGTTTATATGCGTCTATTACACCAAGAGCGCTGTTTACAGTAAACACATTACGCGTCTATAGCACTGAAACCGTTCGAACCGTTAGTACGTTATCAAAAAATCATAAAACCCACGAATACACATAAAAACGAACTGTAATCGAAATTAGTTATTATAACTAAAATGTTCAAAATTCATGTATTGAAACCGTCCGTCAGAAATAGCGCGTACGTAGCAAACCGATTTTATTCAAGATTACCGTGTATGTTTAACATTATGCGTCGTAGACCTTAACCAGTATTTATTATTACCTAATCAAATAAAAATGAGCAGGGCATGTTTGTACTCTAAAACATCGTTTCTAAGATTTTTTCATAATGCTATCGTACACTTTACCATGCGCATAAATATTATACCCACTCCCCTCCCGTATAATACTTATAGCCCATGAAAGGATCATGGCCCGCGGATTGAGAAACACTGCTATAATAAAGCCAATGATTATTCATTATTATGTGCTGTAACGTGGCTAATTCGTGCTGATGATAAACACGCGCTAAGCCGACAAACAAGGCCATCTGCATTTCTTTTTGGTAATATTTTTCCGAGTAATTAAAAAGGTAATCGATAAAACTCCATGGTAACGTAATACCATAGATTTCGTATAATGTACGTAATCTGTATTAGTGCGAAGCAAAAGTATGGTACAATCGATAAGTGGAATTGGCTTTTACGTATCGAACCGACCGATAACTGTTAGTTGTAAAGTAATTATATCGATTTACTGTCATCACGGGTCTTTCCGGTTTCGATTGGGGGGGGGGGATAAAAAAAGCATTCAGGTCACATGAAACTTTATGATTGTCAATAACAATAATTTTCGCTGATCGAATTCTTTCCCGTACCGATGTTACAATGCACAATATGTTATGACTGATATCATGGGAAAATATAATTTTGTTCTTTCCGGCAAACCATGACGGTCGAAGTGTTTATAAACGCGTCCGATAATACTAATGATTTTAATCGTACACGTCATGCGACAGAGTCCTGCATCGCGCTTAACGATGATTTAGGATTTTCGATAAACCGTTCATACACCCACTATTCTCTATTCTCACTATTTCTCACTATTTCCCGTACCGTTTGAAAACTGTTCTACACAGCTCCCTAGGTGAAAAACGGTTTGCAAAAGGCGAAGGATATTATGTCGCGTTCGTCTTGTGTCTGGCGCGGGGTGCATTCAAACAGTGCATAACGTTCAGACCGGTTTCTGAATGTTAATACCCGACGGTGTAATTCCGAACCCTAGAGCAGTTCAACGCGGTAGGCGGGACTAAACCAAAATTACGAATCCTACGCCAGTTTAGCTCTGGTTTGTAGTTTATACAATTTGTAAAACATTCAATAAAATGTACGTATATTAATGCATTTTATGTATCAATACTTACAATTATTAAAGTATCTAACGAATAAATGATATGTTAATAATAATATGTATCGCATAAGGGAATTTAAGTAAAGATGATGAACGATTTTTTAACTAAATGATTTTGCCAATAACAACAACTTTTGACAGTTTAAACAATTAAGTGCGGCAAGACAAGATATTTAATGCAGACAAACCAATGTGGTAGTCTAAACAAATACACTATGGTTGGTAATACCTCAAACATTGACATTAAAGATATGAAGCTGAAACACATCATTTCAAAGATAATTTGAACAAGGTTCTTAAATTAGAATCGACAAACAAAGATTATTCGATGATAAACATTTAAAAAAAAAATATTAGTGTTCAGCCAACTTCAATAGCGCGTCGAAAACTGGATTTACTAATGGATCGCAAAGGTTACAAGCAGGACGCCAAGCAAACTCGGAAAAAATACAAAAATCATCTTATAGAAAAAAAAACAAAAATAAATTTAGGCACTAACATAAAAGTAAATAAACCTAACGAGAAGAACCATGTATACCTTAATAAAATTGTATCGTTTTAATTTACCTGTAAGTACAAGATCTAGTATACTTATATACGATTCAAAATGCTCTCAATAATAAGAAAAATCATTATCCATTTATACTTAATTTTACATTTCTTTTTGAAATACCTATATTTATTAGATTTATTATACTTATAAATTTATATTTTAAATTATATGATACATGATATTATGATATAATTTATTTGATAGATACTTTAATTTTTGTAAATATTGATACATTAAATGCATAAATATACGTAGATTTTATTAAATGTTTTACAAATCGTATAAAATTAAAACCTTACTAGGCTTCAGCGCGAAATGCTAGACTGTCGTAGGATTCATAATTCTAATTTTGCTCCGCCTACCGAGCTGAACTGTACTAAGGTCCGGAAATACGGAAATGCTGATGGTATTGGTCCCGAGTAACGGAACACGGTCATACCATTGGTCGGATAAGCGTGATATTTACGATTTCCGAAATCTATGTTTACGTGTACAATTAAAGAGAATAAACATCCCGGACAAAACCATATGCCTTTGGTAACGATTCCTTCGATTCGATATTTAAACGTACCTTCCGCTTGACGCTCTTCAGTACTGCGATCGCCCACATGCGTTCATCGGCCGCGTGTGCATTGCGACACCGATCCGTTTTGTTTTGTCCTTAGGAATCGTATTTACTACAGGAGAGGAAGCTATAACAACGTGAGTTCTCCGGGTGGCACAATGTGCAGCGGCTCTAATCTGGCCAGCTCTTCGACCTTGGCCGGTATACTATCGCCACTTCCTCAAAGGTAAGACCCCACGTCGTGCGTTTGTTTTACGGATAATTGATTTTTTTCTATCCTTTTCTTTCGTTTTCGTTTCCAGGTCGAACAACTCGAACTATCGTTATCACAACCACCACAAAGGCCAGCAGTCGAAGAACTCGACGATCTCGTCGCACGGGAACTACATTTCCGCGCAGAACCAAACGCTGGACGCGAACAGCTCGTGCTCCGTGCCCGTGCCCCCGTCGCCCGTCCATCACGCAAAACAGGCAAAAGTCGAAGTACCCTCATCACCCAACCACAGTGGGTTGACGACGTTGTCATCGTGCATTATAATTTATTCAACTATTTTTAGTGTACCGGGCAGGAAAGAGGAATTTCGGTCGATTTAACGAACTTCTCGACACCACCATTTGAACGCTTTAAAAATTATTCTCAACATTTGTATCGCGGCAGCGAACTATTGAAGTATTTCACGCTTCGCGACACACCATAAAGGTCACGGACGTAAACGATATACGGTTCACGCAGACATGCGTATTCATTAATATTTCATTTTAATTGGAAATAATTTAATTAGGACACTTGAATAATGTATACGTTTTAAATCGTACAAGTTATATCTCATTATTTTAAATATTCATTTTTGTATCAAAGTTGTTATTCGTTTAGCGGCATTTACATACGTTTCAAGACACACTTTGACACTTTAACCTGTTTAACATGCCGTGACACAATCGACGTTGAGAAACACTACGTATGCGTATAATAACCACGAATGGCATATATTAAGTACTATTTCATTGGACTTGGGAATGCTTTAATACTTAACTAAAGTTATGCCAATTGAAATTCACTTTTTCTAACTTAAATATTTATTTTTAATGATTAGTTTTTTTTTTTATTAGATCAATTATTACATATGTTTTAACTGAGAAGTTTTTCACACCTTTTAATTTAACGATATCACAAACTATATGAAAACACCTATACGGTTTTCGTAGAGTTTGTAATGATAATACTGACTTCATTTATAATGATTGGGAAGTATCAATTTATATTCTTGATTTATGCTTTCTCGTGTATAAAAATGACGTTACAAAACAACTGAGTCATATGAAGCACTTCATACCACCAGTGCTGCAGTGAAGTGGTACAAAATGTATGTCACAATACGCAATTTGTACTAAACATAAAATGGAGAACCCCGAGAAATTCGTTTCTTCGCTAATAATTTTTATTATTGTTAATGAAATAATTTTCCCTGATTTTCGCGCTACTTCGACTGAAAAATCCGTGAAAAATAAGCGCTCTCAGTTCTGTGGGTAAAAGTTTTTACCAAAAATCGACACGAACCCTTTCCGCCTGGGATCAAAGAGTGTTAAACTTTACACTGCTTCAATAAACCTTAAGTGACCGAATATAATTTAAAATTAAACGCGACGTGTTTGTTCCAGTGGTCATCTGTACGCCACCGGGGTCACCTCAGCATCTCTCTAATCACTGGAAATCAAGACTTACGTCGATTCGCAACAGTGTTCTAGGGTCGCCAAAGTTCCATAGACGTAAACCGCAAAGTAATGTCGTAGATTATTATTATTATTATTATTATTTATATTATATTGTTTGTAGTGAGTAACGGCTAGAGAAAATTTGTTTTTTTTTTTTTTTACGAAACCAATAATGTTATGATTGCTATAGAATTATGTTCAGAAAACTGATTAGTCGTCGAAAAATAAAAATAAAATCCAGTTTAATCAAGCGATGTGAATAACGACTAATGGCAAATATAAATTGCTCTAATGAAATACGTTATACAAACGAAATAAAAAACAAAGGACGAAAGAGACGAAGGACTTTTATTAAATGTATTTTAGAATCAACACGGGGTAATATGAAATGAATTTGTAGCCTCGTGAAAAACTTAGAAAAAATCAAAATCAATGCTCACCAGTTATATTATTATAATATTAAATATCTAATATGATAATATGATTATATTATTATATATGAATAATACTGATAATAAACCTTGGGCAACTACATCTCTTATTAAAACTATTAGACATAAAGATCATTTACATTTACATGTTAAAAAACACTCTAATAATGATACTTTAAAACAATACTATAAACATTTTAGAAATTAAATTATACAACTTATCAGAAATGCTAAAAATATACATTAGAAAAACGAATTTGATAAATATAAAAATAATCTGATAGAGAGTTGAAAAATAATTAATGAATTTACCAACAGAAACACAAAAAATAATAAAATTGAGTATCTCATAACAGAAAATGGTAAAAAAATGTATTTCAAAGAAAACAGTGAAATTATTTCTAAACATTTTAATGACTATTTTATAAATATTGCCTCTGATTTATTTAAAAAAATCTAAAAGAAATTCATGAAAACATTCAGTTAACTATGTAAAATAATAAGGTATTCCCCTAACAAACCGCTTTTTTAAAATTTTCATACTATTAACGAACAAGAAATAATAAATTGCGTAATAGAATTAAAAAACGGGTCTTCACTCGGAATTGATGGTATAATGGTTGAAATACTAAAAGAAAATATATCTCTCCTTGTTTTTCCCATAAAGCATATGTTTAATCTTTATCTTTCATAGTCAATTATACTTGATGTATATAATTTATCCATAATAACACCAATCCAAAAAAAGAAAATTCTAATTCATTCAATTTTCGGTCCATATCTCTAACATAGCAAAAATATTTGAGAAAATAATTAAAACACAATAAGTTACTTTTTTAGAAAATAATAATCTTTTACATTTTTCTCAATATGGTTTTCGTCCGGGAAAAGGTAGAGATTTGCGTAAAATATTAGATTCGACTAAATTGCGGCAAGTTTATTTAAATTTTTTATTATTTTTTTAAGTTATTTATTTGAGTTTTCTTATTAGTAGAATCGGTCATTAACTATGGCATAATTGGTTGGAGTGGTGCGTTCAATGATGTACTAAAAGAATTACAAGTCTGCCAAAATCAAATATTGAAAGTGACCTTTAATAAAACACTAAAATACCATACCGAAAATTTTTATAAAGAATTAAAACTACTTCCTATACAAAAATTATATTATAAAACGATCGTTATATTCCTAAAAAAACATAATATGATAAATCCTATACCATATAACATTAATACCAGGTATGCTAGAAACAATTTTTTAATAAATTGGCCGAATAAAACCACTTCAGGTAGACATTTTCAAATAATAGGTACCAAAATAAATAAAATTCCTTCTGATATCTTAAATCTTCCACTCAGTTTATTTAAAAAAAAAGATTTTTCAATGGTTATTAGATTTAGATGATTCAATATGATAATAGTAGGTAAATTTTTTTAATTTATATTTATTTATAAGCACTTTTTCTCTATCCTTAATTATGTATTTGCTTTATATTTGTAACATGTAATAATGTAAGAACTCCTGGGCCCCACACAAGTTATCTCAGTGGGGTCCAGTGTTCATTGTATGAATTAAAATAAAATAAATTAAAATAAATTAATTAATTCATCAGTAAAAAAAAAAAAAAATAGCTCTAGTGGGAGATAGGAAACATGGGTATGCAAATTCGAACTAGCAGAACATTCAATTTCGATGGTAGAAAATAACTGAAATGTTGTATAAAAAATTTAAGTGTGCGATGTAATTATTTTTAAACAACTAACACTTGACACATTCCATACAGTCGTACGATTTGCCATGTTAACCTGTAAAATGCATTAAAACATTCCGTTCGTTTGGAGTAGAGAAAATAAAAAACAGTACCCCAATATAAACGGAATGAGAGTTTCCTATAAATTCGGCAACACAGCATTCAAAATACGAGTGAAACAATGCGTGCATAAATAAATACTTGACTCAGCAAACGCATTAAGACAATTTAAAGCAGTATTTTCCGACTTGAGAGGCGTGAACACGTTACTAAGAGTGGGGATGGATGGACATCACCAGTGCTGTAGCAACTAACTATTGCGCCCGGAACGAAATTTCAAAATTCACTCTTATGCACTTTTTATGTAAAAATATTATAACTATTAGATATTATTATTAAAAGTTGCTTCAATTAATATAAAATGACGATGAAGTGTTTGTAGGCAAAATATACAACACCGATTGTTGTAATTTTTAACATAACATGCGAATTTTTAATTTTTGTGTTCTACCAGGAGAAACTCTCGGCCTCCCCCCCCCTTACTACAGCTAGATTCACTACGGAGTTTATTATTACTATCAACAAAAAAATTAAATCTTAAAACTTCTAGGTCATGTAAGAATACACGGTCGGCTGGAAAACAGATTTAATCTAAATACCACACACGGTAATATAGAAAACGCTAGTACACTGTAATGTACTCGACAATCGAATATAGATTTTACTTAAAAAATAAATAGTATTAGAAACTCACATGTTAGAAACGGTTCAATGATTGTGATGATATTTATTGCACAATATCTTAAAAGGTAAAATCGATTTACCGATAAACTGATAGTAATGTAAACGAAAACATAATATTGAAACGACGATAATTAAAGAGGATTTAAAATTTAATTTTAATAAGTAATAAAACAAAGTAAAACCGATCATTATTGATCTTTACACGTACATTACTTGAAAAAATAGTGTAACTGAAGCCTTCCCAGAAATGTGTTCATGTCGTCCCCCCCTCTGGTGGTAGAGTAAATGATAAAGTAGGTTTTTTTTATTAAGTTATTACGCAGTAAATAGTGTTATTATTTCTGTGTGGAACGTTAAGCGATGCTCGAAACGTCACGAAATAATATAAAACGAAAAATGGATTTACGAGAATAAGAGTAAAACATATTTCGTACGAAGTACCTATATCCGTTGTTACATTATTGTTATTAATATTATTCGGCGTTTCTATTTTCATGTTAACAGTTGAAATAGACCCGGTGTACAAGCCAACGCCGGAATCTTCGCCAGAACTGACCAAAAAATCTTGGTTCGGAAGTTTGATGGCTTCGGAGAAAGACGAAACGTTCACTATTTTGATAACTGGAAAACCATTGTCCACCGTAAAGGCTGATCTGATACACGCCTTACTCTCGGTAAGTAAAAATGCACGTTGAGTGCATGAACACTTATTTTCTTTTTTTAAAAAGAAGACGAAATGTTTACAATCTGTAGCATCTGTATGATAAGAAAATTAGGTCATTCACGAACGATGTTTACACGATATGAATAATTTTGAGAAGGGGAGCTGTCCAGTAACAGAACCCTCAAGAATTTAATATTAAATATTTAAAAGTCGGGATTCAATTGATCTCCGCACTAGCATCTTTTTAAACGACGGGGAGGATTGTTAAATAAGTTAACACTGACTTGAATGGAAATCAGTGGAATGGAGTGATTAGCTATCACGTGAACACTTTAAAAAAAAAAATCAAAATAATACATCTCGAATACACGTTTATACTAATTATTGTTTGCCGTACCTACTTAATTTTTAATTTTTTTTTTATACAAATGTATATATATATTTTTTTTTTCTGTCATTCGATTCATCGCATCCGGTGTCAAATAAACGTATTGAAAAAATATCATTACGGCTTATGCATAAAGTGAGATATTCCTTTGGTACCCTTTGGGGCCTGACAACGAATAATAGATGGTAATAATTATGAACGAAAACTCCATTTAACGTAGGTATGCTTTGTTCCGGGCGATATCGTGTCGAACGTTTTCGTATTTTCGGTATGATCGATCTTCGATTTTGTACATAGATATATTGCGTTTCGATCGTCACAAACTATATCGACTAAATTACTCTATTGCGATCAGTGTCATGTTTAAGGTTTCACCGCCCGTTAGCAACGACATTTAATTGCCTCCTTACCCAAACACATACATTAAATGATTCAGATCAAGGATCTTTAACTCTTGTCCATTTTACACGGCCATTTGTTTCGCTGCTCGCGATTAAACTTTCCCGTTTCAGTAAGTTTTTAAACAGTATTTATTGTTCGTAAAAATATTGAAAAATAATAGTCTTGTAACTGTAATACATGTATTACGTGTGTTTGTGTGAAATAAACTGGTGCACGAGAATAATGTTTATAATATAAAAAAAAATGTAAACTTTCGTAAAAGACTAAATTTTAATACAACCATATAAAAAACTATAATTCTCATATCGACGAATCATATCGATGGTGCACATTTGAGTCAAATATTTGCACCATGTTATAAAATATAACCATCACCCTCCCTTTCAAATAACATATACAATATTGTGCTATTGATCTTCCCCCTCTCAAAATCACCTCTTTAATACAGCCCTGATTTTTGTGTAACAATAATGTTGATTTTCTTTTGCCCGTGATCGATACACCGTTCGAATTATTCACCACAAGTCTTTATCGACCTAGTAATATATTGTATATTTACCATCAGGTATACTGTTACCAATAAGTTTCTGTACAATCTCTTTGATTTAATATCGGTTTTTTATTTTTATTTTTTTCAAAATCCGATGTACTATGCGTAAATGTATTGACGTCTCAAACGTCAAAACACTTACCACTAAGTACAGCATAATTTTGTACATATTTTAAGTAGTCCAACGTCACACCGTCACACCATATAGACGGTTTATTGAACAGTATTAACATTATGTTTTCCGAACAGTAATCTACGCATAACGTAAACATTAAAAGTGTTATTAATGTTCCAATGGAAAACGAGCACGTATACGTGTGCAATATCGCGTCAGAGCTGTACGAAAAAAACGCCTGTTGATTTATTCAATTACATAACGTTAACAAATGTGAAAAACCTTTTCTTTTTTCGAACACACTAATTCAACTGTGCACCGAGTCTTAGTAATTAACGTGCGTACATCACTAGAACTTTGTGGTCGCTTGACGAATTCCAAATGGATGATAATAGTTCACGGTGTTTCGTCGTCGAGTTGTTTAAACGAAGAGTGAACGTACGTGTCTAACATTTTGATGTTATGACATTATAATGATACACGTTCGATGATGAGATATGAATATTGTCAAGAAAATGTATGATACAAGACTTTGGAAAGAACAATAAAAGAGTTAATAGTTATCGTTTTCGTATTAGAGACCATTTGCTTATACTTTTATAATGCAATAGAAATATTTTTACGGTTATCTCGTGGAAGCGGACAATGTTCGCAACGTTGGATGAACCTCGTTTGATTGGTGTGCCCGATATCATATTAAATTTGAAAGTGTCTGAAAAAAAAATGAAAACGAAAGTAGTAATCGCGAACGGAATTCAATTTATTATACTGCGTTGAACGAATTTGCAAACATTTAAGTGCCTAAATACAATAATAAAAAATCAAAAAAATCGTGAACATAGGGATTCGACGAATTTATTAAAAATAGTTTCAACAAAGATGTAACGTTTATGCTTCAGAATACATTAGTTTAAACCATCAGCTCTCAAACTATGCTTCGTGAGAACAATCCACGAGCGTTTAATCGGAATTAAATCAAATTCTAACTCATTATTGGTTGAATTGACAAATATTTAGAGACTGTATACGATTGCTTATGAGTAAACATGTATATTATTTTTCTTCCATTAAAATAAATACTTAAGTCTTACTTGTAAATGAAAAATAAAACCATTGTTCGCATTACATTTTACAAACAACCAATATTTGGTATTTAGATGATTTATTAATATTTATTTATTTTTTGTTATTCATAATATACAATATTCGAATTATAAATAAACAAAAAAAACGAATTATTAAGAAACTTTAAAAATAAATCATTGATAGGTAATTCCTTATAAATTGTGGATTAAAACTGACATTCCTCGTTTTTTTATGGCTCAGTAAATTATTTATTTTTAAAATTTTGAGGATTCTACGGAAAGAAAATTTTGATTATCGCTGGTTTACATAATTTAACGTGAGGAAATTTAAAATGAATCGTAACCGCCTACGGTTAAACGACAAGAACGAAGGAGGATTGTTGCAGTCATACTAAATTCATGCAAACAAACAATGAAAATTACCAGTATTATGAAAGCTCTCGTGTAGCATGACTCAGATTTCATTGATTTTGAAACGCTATTTTTATCGTTATTCCGTAAAAATCTCGTTAGAGTCAAAACAAAAGAATACATAAGACAAAAGTTGAGGTGGAAACTCAAGTTTCTTCATTCATTTTGACATATCGAAACAATGTTTTAACGGTGTATTATAATTTTTGTGCGCACTTGAAAACCGTTATCGAAAATCTGACAATGGAATCGAAGTTACAAAATATATTGACGGTCGAAATTACTTTTAAAAACGAGCGAAAACCAGAAGAGATGTGTGCGTTGAGCTGCCAATGCGCAATACTTAAAATTCTAAAAGGTTTACCTAATAGAAAACCGTGACAGCTCATGGCCGTCAATATGAATCAATTTCATCACGATTCGAATTTTACGCATACGTATAGAATAATATCAAGTCGAGATTTTTGAAATATTCTTTGAATGTCATAGAACAGTATATAAATAAACAAATAGTTATATGTTGATCTGTAGAAATAAATAAATAAAAGCATAACCTATCATTATATTTGTAAAGTATGACAGGTTTCGGATTAAAAATTCATCATCAGGTAAATGGAAAGTTAATCCAATTGCGACTGAATGTATAAAGAAATAAAAATAAATAAAATCGCAATTCTTAATCATTGTCGCAGTGGCGGTAGTGGCGGTATGATAACATCGCAATATTATATGATTATTACAAAATAACGAATAAACAAATATCGTCGACACTATTATTGAACATATGCAATACATTTTTACAGCTCTGCTACTATAAAACGAACGATGGGTCGCCGACGAGAAACGTGCGAAACATTAAAAAATAATTAAAACTTTGTCGATTTATTAACACAATGTGCCGCTGGTGCACAATATATTTTCGACTGTACACAATGGCGCCATGAAATCTCTCAATAAAAATCCCGAATTACTCACATTAAATGCTCGAATCGGCCAAAAGATATTACACTAATTTGATCTTATTTTTATGATGGAATAACAATTGGATTATTCGTTTACTACTAATAAACATACAGTTTATACATTTCATTTAGTATATTATTATTATTTTTTTATGGTTTATTTACTACTATGAATAAAACTGATATATATAAAATAAAAAAAAAATGCACTATTTACGACAGTACTCTATTTTATTAATAACAATCAATCGATGACATCGTGATCGTCGCAAAACGCACACGCACACGCAATAAATACACGCGCGCTAATTTAAATTATATTATATTGTTCCTACGGTTCGAGATAAAGTCCACATTAATATGTTTATTGTATGGATGTCGTATATATTCAAATAATTACATTCGACACGTTTCGGGATCTCCTACAGATATAGGAATATTCCTACCCCTGAATCTCAAAATATTCATAAATTACATATTTTTATACTGTACGATATGCCGAATACAGCGAGAATGCAGGAGGTGCAATAAAATGGAATCTCGAGGTAAGAGTTTTTTTTTTTTTTTTTTATGAGTATCAAATATTTACAATAGTTATGTCAAAAGCGTTTCATTATTAATAATGATTCAAAAAAATAAAAAAACGTGTTTCAAGTTATCATCTTAAGATGTATAAATGATCCGCACTCGTATATTCTCGCTCTTCGAAAAATAAGTAAAATGAATGGCAATACGTCGATCAATAGTTTGTTTTTTCCACCAAGCCTCCGATTTCGCTGCGCTTTAGTCTCGCAAAACTTGAATCGGGCACCGACTGTGTGATGTAAACTTATTGTCTGTATGAACAACGGCGGAAGATGTCCCGTCAAGAAACGTTTACGTGACAAATACGCTCGAATGGTGTGCGGACAATTGAATTTCATTAAATTATAACAGAAAAAATAACCTAAATAAAACGTTTCGCCCACTATACGGAGACGATTTTTTAGTGTTAGTGTTACGTATGATATGATAAGCGTGTGTGTGCGTGTGCATGTGCGTCGCGATGTTTCATTTAACCGTCACTCCGTTATTCGATTGTCTCTATTCGGACGCGG